TTTTGAGCTTTTTCGGCATCGGTTGCCTCTAGCTGTGGGAGCATGGAGTTGCTCGTTGTAGAGGCGCTAAAGTTCACTGCTATCGGTGTCATGCAGCCCAACGTCCTCCGAATCGACGTTGATGGGCTTCACAACACCGGATCCTCCCCCGGGCTTCATACCTCACATGGTGAAGCGCACACGAGGTAACCTGCTCTGATACCACTTGCAGGATCTCTAGAACACCTAGAGGGGGGTGAATTGGCCTATAAAAATTCAACTCAAACCGAAGTCAAATTCACCCGCGACACTGCCGCTCTATGAGTGCAGCACTGCCTCACCTGCAGGAGAGATTTGTTCATAGTTTAAAATCTACCTAACAAAATTTAGATTGGGTAAATTTCTTAGCTTCCTACAAGGTAGTAGATCACAGATCGACAGCTAAAAGTGATGAAAACACCACACACAAGTAGATCAGCATCAAACTCTAGAAATCACCTCAATCAATAATATGTCATGCAAGTAATGTAAATCAGCACAAATGACATAATGATTTATCCCGTGGTTCGGCTCGCCACCAAGGCTTGCCTACCTCCATATTGTTGAGGTTAGCCACTAAGGCCTAGAGCTTTCCAGCACTTCCTCATTCTCAAGTCAAGAGACTTAACTCTTGAGATGAGGGGTGAGTTTACTAGCTTTAAAAGATGGTTACAAACCTCCCGAGGCTGCCACCCAAGTTGGCAAGCTCCACGGGCGACGCTCTAGCCGGCTAGGAGCCAAACTCCAAGAGTAACAAACACAACCGCCGGCTAAAACGTGAACCAAGTGCTCTTTAGAGTTTGGGAATCAATGAAGCTGCTCTCTCATCGAGTTTTGAACACTTATCCCTCAAGGATTGATGGGAAAATCAATAGATTTGCTTGGGGGCTTGAGGTCAACAATAGAGTGAGAGAGAGAGCTCCTGCTCTATTTTGGACGTGCTGAAGTGAGGAAGAAAAGAGCTTCTCTCCGTTGGGTGGAAGGGGAAAGGTATATATACCCCCCCCTTCAACGATCACTTGAATCGCAGATAGCCGTTGGGGAGAAAAGGGAAAGGTATATATACTCCTAGCTCCACAACGGTCACCGCACCCAAAGGGTAGGGCGAGACGAAGCCCGCGGCCTCAAGGTCGGGTGAGACGGAGCTCGCGGCCTCGAGGTTGGGTGAGACGAAGCCCGCGACCAAGGAGTCGGGCGAACTGGAGCCCGTGACCAAGGGGCCGGGCTAGCCAGAGCCCGCGACCAAGGGGTTGGACGAGCCTCTCTTTAAGTGCAGCAGTGCCGCATCACGCAAGACAACAAGGATAATAGTGAAGTGTAGACTATCTTGGCTGTGAATCTAAGGATGCATGTGGTTATTTAAGCACTTGGTAGCACATATTAGCTTTAAGCATTGTGCCCCCCTTTATAGTACGGCTTTTCCTATACTCAAATTCAATATATAAAAGAATTTAAACCTCCTTTGAGTTTTAAACCATCTACATTTATAATTGAGGGCTCCTCCATTTCATATAGCATCCTTGAATATAGATTTCTTGCTTGTTATCTCGATAAATCTCATTAGTTCTCTAATTATGTAGTCATTATCACCAAAACCCACAATTAAAGATTGACTGCACTTTCACATAGAGTTCTACATGTTAAGCTCATAGCATAGAAACTATATGCTAGTTCATGTGTCATGATTATAACATGTAGACTATACTCTAGTTCATATACACTACTATATTGAAGATATGAGAGCAAGACTTTAGAAGAATCCTTCATAGTATTCATACCGGGATTTCTCTCTTTCAAGGAGCCAAGCTCTCCTTGATAGCTTTGCTAGCTCCAAAAGTACTACTAAAAGTAAAAGATTAAAAGAGAGGGTGAGGTGTTTGGCTCCAAATGAGGTGTGTTGAAAGGTGAGCACCACTCATCTTTTTATACAAAGCTAGAGGTCAGTTTGTCCCTAGTAAATTAGGAAACCACCCGAGCTACCTTTGCATGCCGCCATGCAACCGCCGGAGCACGGTGGGCCCGAGAGACGGTGGGGGGTGCGGGCGCACCCGTGATGCGACTGCACTAGGGCTGGCCCCGCTCACAACAGCCTTGCTCTGGTGGGCTGCTGACTAGGCCTGGGTTGCTTCCTCGGTGGTGCTCGACGCCGTTTTGACATGTAGGTGGGCTTTTGCTTGGCTGCTTTGCGCTTTTCTGCTTTACGATTTCCTGTGTTGCGCCTTTTGATCTTATTCCCATGTATTTCATATGTATGTCCTACAAAACACTAAGTATCCAATATATGTGGAAATATGTCAATAGTAAATGCATATATGTCAAAAGTTTGTTTATTTCTCCTGTTTTGGATATTAATTGGCGGCTGGATATGGTCGTTAAGGACCGCCAACAGCTGGAGCTTGAGGAACACTGAATCACCCTCCTGTAACTCTCTTTCAGTTCGATTTTTATCAGCCTGTGCCTTCATCCTTTGTTGGGCGCAGCTGCTATTTGATCAAATTTGACAACAACTCTCTTTCCTTCAGCCATAGTTCTAAGTCTGGGACAGTGCAAAGTTGCAGATTTGCAATTCCCAACTGTCTTGGTGAGTAGCCATAGAGAACCTAAAAAGGTGATCTTCCAAGTGCAGAATGTGTTGAGGTATTGTGCCAAAACTCTACCAGTGATAGCCATTTACTCCATTGCTTGGGACAGGAATGCACAGTGCATCTCAAAAATGCTTCTAAACACTGATTTAAGCGCTCAATCTGCCCATTAGTTTGTGGGTGATAGGATGAATTCATCATCACCTTTGTATCAGACAATTTGAACAACCGCTGCCACACAACACTTGTGAATACTTCTCTGTCAGATATGATGGCTTTAGGCAGGCCATGAAGCTTATAGACCAAATTCATGTAGAGTTGAGCTATCTGCAAGGCTGTGAATGGATGATGTATAGGCAGAAAGTGTCCATATTTTGTGAATTTATCTACCACTACAAGAATGGCATTGAACTTATCAGACTGGACCAGTCCCTCAATAAAATCCAAGCTAACAATTTCCCAAGCTTGTGAGGGAACTGGTATAGGTTCTAGGAGACTAGGTGACTTGATTCTTTCTGTTTTTGCCTGTTGGCATACTTGACATTGCTGTACAAAAATCTTGAACAGTTTGCTTTAGTCCAGGCCATGAGAACAACTGCTTAACCCTAGCGTATGTTGCACTGATTCCAGAATGTCCTCCAACTCCACTGTCATGCAATGCTATCAGAATATCTCTCTGAGCAGTTGTATTGGTGCCCACCCATACTCTTTGTGCCTAATGACTCCTTCCTTCAGAGAAAATCCTTGTTGTTCTCAGGATGAATGGCTAACTCAGTGAGTAGCTGTTGGGCCATTTGATCTTCTCCATAGCCCTCATGCAGTTTTTGAATCAGACACAGCACAGATACTGCCACTGTCAGTCATCCTAGATAGGGCATCAGCTGCTGCATTATTGATTCCTTTTTCATATTGAATGACATACTGCAAATCCATCAATTTAACAAGAGCCTTATGTTGCAATTTAGATGTCACCCTTTGCTCTGTCAGATGTTGTAGGCTACTATGATCAATTCTAATGATAAATTTCTAATGTTGCAGATATGGTCTCCATCTATCAATAGCCAGCAAAATAGCTAAGCATTCTTTCTCAAAGACTGACAGAGCTTGGTTTTTGATTCCCAACGGCTTACTCAAGTACGCAATTGGGTGTTGATCTTGCATAAGCACTGCCCCAACTCCCAGATCACAAGCATCTGTCTCCACCACAAAGGTTTTAGAGAAATCAGGGACTGTCAAAACTGGGGCTTCACTCATTTTCTGTTTCAACAGCTGCAATGCCTGCTCAGCCATCGTTTTCCACTGAAAAATAGTGTTCCTCTTCAGCAGTTCAGTTAAAGGTCTACTGATCATTCCATAATCTTTGATAAACTTCCTATAGTACCCAGTGAGCCCCCAAAACCCTCTGAGCTGCTTAGAAGTCTTTGGTGTAGGCCATACAGTTACTGCTTGAATCTTAGCTGGGTCAGTAGCCACTCCTTGCCCTGAAACAATGTAGCCACTCCTTGCCCTGAAACAATGTGTCCCAAATACTCAACTTGCTTGGTAGCAAAAGAACACTTGGATTTCTTGATTAAGAATTGATGTTGCTCCAAATCTGGAAGACTTGTTTCAATAGCCTGGTATGCTCTTCCAGAGATTTTAAATAAATTAGGATGCCATCCATAAAAATCAGCACACCCTTTCTCAGCAGCTCAGCAAATATAATGTTCATGAAACTCTAGAAAGTAGCAGGGGGCATTGGTAAGACCAAATGGCATAACCAAAAACTCAAACAGGCCATTATGTGTTCTAAAAGCTGTTTTATACTCTTCTCCTGTTGCCATACAGAGTTGGTGGTACCCTGATCTGAAATCCAGTTTAGTGAACAACTGTGATCCAGCTAACTCATCTAATAGCTCATCAACAACTGGCATAGGGTACATATGCTTCACTGTAATTGCATTGAGATGCCTGTAATCTACACAAAATCTCCATGTCCCATCTTTCTTCCTCACAAGGAGCACTGGGGACGCAAAAGAGCTGGCACTAGGCCAGATCACCCTTGAGAGAGCATCTGTTTGAGTTGCTTTTCAATCTCAGATTTCTGTATAGGAGAATATCTGTATGGTCCCACCTTTACTGGCTGAGCCCCTGGCACTAAAGGAATTTGATGATCAGCTGCTCTTTTAGAGGTAGGCCTACTGGTTCAGCAAATAGGTGACTATACTGAACTAACAGCTGATTAATATCATCAGGCACAACTTCTTTGACAAGGTCAGAATTCTGAGACAAGTGTGACTTTGCAGCAGCCATAGGTGGCACAATCATCTGGACACAAAGAGATACAGCTCCATGCTTAATTAAGCCTTTTAACTTGTGAGCACTGATCTGTGTGCAACTGTCAGTATGCTCTTTGACTCCTTATAACTCCACCATTTGCCCCTTGTAATTGAACTTCATTGTTTTAAGCTTGTAATCAATCAACATAGGACTGCAGTCCTCCAACCAGTCTTCTCCCACAATCAAATCATAGCATTTCAGGGGTAACACCCTTGCTTCAGAAGTGAATTTATGACCCTGAATAAACCAATGCAACCGCTGAACCTTGGTCTCACTCAACATCATTCCTCCATTAGCAGCCCTGTATGTGATAGAAGCACACTGTTCTGTGGATAGCCCCAACTGGTGCACCAAGTGTTGACTAACAAATGTGCCCACACTGCCTGAGTCAATCAACACAAGCATCTGATGTTTGACAATTCTAGCCAATAGTTTCATGGTCTGTCTAGGCTTCACCTGATTCTGAGAAATGGCCTGAACAGCTAGAACTTTCTGAGCTTCAGTTGTGACATCCATCTCACTATCATCCTCCTCAACAGAATCAGATATGTCCATAGCATCCAAAATCTCCTCTAGAACATGCAAAGAAACATGAGCTGGACAGGTGTGGTTGGGGTTCCATTTCTCACCGCACTTGAAGCATAGCCCATTACGTCACCTGAATGCCCGAAGGGTAGCGATCTTGTCCTCAGTGTCAGATCAAGCGACTTTGGGGACAGCCTTGACCGAGTCCTGCTGCTTGTTCTTGTCAGCCGTAGAGGTACTCTTGGACACACACCTGGTGAAATCTCGCCCAAAGGTGCCGCGCGACTGGTTTCAAGCTCCTGCTCGTGAATCAATGCCAGAGCGCTCGCTGTATCCACATCTCGAGGTCGGTGGAGCATGAGTGGTACCCGGATTTCTTCCTTGAGGCTGCTGACGAACCGGGTGACGAAGAACGTGTCGTCGTACACCAGATTGTATAGTAGAACCGCATGAGCAATCATCTCGAACGTCTCCTGGTACTCGAGCACGGACCTGGTCTAGCGCAATGAATCCAACTGCCTCAGATGGATTTGGTACTGATCCTTGTCATACTTCTTCATCACTAAGTCACAGAGCTCCGCCCAGTTCCCAATCCTTCCGCGGCGTTCCATGGTCTGCAGCCAAGTTGAGCGTGGCGAACCAGGTCTTCATGGCTTCGCTCACCGCAAACACCTCGAAATACATCTCGCATTGATCGTGCCATAGATGAGGGTTAGAACCATCAAACTTCGGGAATTCGATCTTAGGGAACGGGGGGTGATGCGGGTGGGATTCATCATAAGTTTAAGGCGGAGGACCCATGGGGGTACCATTGCCCAGGCGAGGCGGAGGCGCTCCGAGGAGCCCTCCACCAGCGTCCCGGAGTTGATTGTCATCGTCGTGCCCCATGGGCAGATCTGCTCACGGCGGCGGCGACGCACTCGTCGACGCGGCTGGAGCAGCGTTGAGGTCGATCCGCGCTGCAGGAGAGTGCAGCGGGAGTGGCGCGTCGTGGACCTGCCACTGGGGTGGTAGCGGAGGGGAGGCGGTGGAGGAGGACGAAACTCCAAGTGGGAGATGCGTGCAGCCATCTCGTCGATCCACGTGGTCGTCTCCGAGGATCGCTAGAGCAGGGTACCCATCGATTCCTCGGCGGTGTGTGCCATGCCTCTAGGATGCCGAGCTTGTCGAGTGACGTCACCATCATATCTTGGAATCCGGCGAACTGCTTTGCCATGGACTCCAACGACTCCTTCAACGACTCAACCGTCGTAGCCATCTCGAGCTGGTACTTGGGCGGATTCTTCTTCTTCGGCGCCAGCGATTCGGAAAAAAATTCCCCCCCAAATCACCAGGCTCTCGATACCAAATTGTTATGAGAACCGATAACTAGAAGGGAATTTCGATTGGGGTAGCAGGAATCTAGGATAGAATAGCAAGAACAGAGTTGGAGGGAGGAAGAACACGGCAGGAACCCATGGGCGAGGACGACGACGAAGGCCGTTTGTCAGTTACGAAATGACTCTGTTCTGCGTTACCCCGTTCAGAGAACAGACACCTGCTTATATCATCGCAGCGCCGGCTTACATCTCACCGCCTAAGAGCTAACAGGCCGAGGCCCAAGGCAAAAGCCCATAGCTATTTGTACTCATAACACAGGGGTACCCGCACCGCCCCTGTATTGACTACGTCCGCCTATTGAGCCAAGAGACACCGGAAAGGAGGCCCATGAAGGCAAGGCGAATCCACCGACTCAGGGATCAAGACATACGGAAGATATGTCGGAGCCATTGTGTCCGGACGATAGCATAGGATGAATCTATTATACATTTAATATATTCAACTAGAAAACTAATATGTTAGCCGATCGGATGTAGAAACCCTACTCCTTAGGTTATATAAGGAGTAGGGCCTCCCATTCAGGATCTAATCCCATCCACTTTATTCTCTCACATGGCTAGGAGGAGCAACGACCCTGTAATCGAGTATATAAATATAGAGATCCACCATTAAATTAGACGTAAGGCACCTCATGTGTCCGAACTAGTATAAGCCCTATGTCTTATGTGCTTACTATTTGATTTATCTTGTATGATTAGCTGCTAGTTATTGTCGGAGCTAATTCTTTTGATAGTTGACGCGCTAGGTAGGGACCTTTTCGTGTATAGATTTAGGCCTCGTTTAGTTAGGCGAAATTTTTTGGGAAATGATATTGTAGCACTTTTGTTGTTATTTGGCAATTAGTGTCCAATCATAGTCTAATTAGGCTTAAAAGATTCGCCTCGTGAATTTCGTCTAAACTGTGTAATTAGTTTTATTTTTTATTTATATTTAATGCTTCATGCATGCGTCCAAAGATTTGATGTGACGGAAAATCTTGAAAAATTTTGTAAAATTTTGGAAACTAAACGTGCACTTATTATGATGGGTATCGTCTTCAACTTCGACGACGACACGGCGAAAAGATGTAGCCGGGCAAAAAGATCTCGTTCGGCAAGCTTGACTTCATCGCCGTCGAGCCTGCGTCTCTGCAGGAACCCGAGATGTCCGAACAAGAGGAGGAACAGTCCCCTCTGATCCGTGTAGGAAGAGGCTGACAAGAGGCCTGCCACGTGCCCGTCTTGTAGTGGCCGCATGCTTAGTCCTTGTCGTCTTGGACGTGGCTCTAGTATGAAGATTTAGGGACCCTCTTATGTTCTCAAAACACTCGTTCTTATGAAAATTAACTCTCATCTCTGAGATTTGCTCATACCACCTCAGGATTTATTTCAAATTACCTAAAATATCTATTTTTTAATGAAGGAATTTAATCAGTCCCATTAAGAATTAAGGGGTTGTTTGGATCGTGGCTCACAGGCTACCACGCCTAACCTTAAGTTTACCACAAGGTTTTTGGTAGGTGTTTGGTTCATCATTCAGATTTGGTACGCCACCGCCACGAAATTACTCCGCCACAAAATTCCTTCGCAAAAAGTGTGGCGGGCGGTGGCGGGCGTTTTTGCCGCCCCAGCCCACCGTGGATTTTCACCGCAATAGAAAAGCATCCTGGCTCCCTATCATCTCCCGACACTCCTCCCAATCGAAAAAAATGCCGACATCCTCCCAGTAGGTCCGCCTGCCCGCCGCGCCCAGTGGGGACCGCCCAGCGCTTGCAGCGACCAAGCATCGAGCCTCCGCCCTCTCATCGCTGTCGCGCGCCGAGAGCCACCAAGACAGAGCCGCCGCTTCTCCTCTCCCTCTGCCGCCGCCTCTCCTACGTCCACGCGCAAGTCCAAGGACCAGGACGCCGCCGCCCCTACTGCCTGACTGCCTCTGCTTCTCGTGGTGTTTAGTCAACCAGGTAAAGATCTGAAATTATCAGTCCCACAACCGTCTTCTCCATCTCAGTCGCATTGCTTCTCCCCTCCCTGTTGAGCTCTGGTTGTTCTCTCCTTGTGTGCAGATCTAAAACAAATCAGTGAAACAGGTGAAGATCCATCCATCTCGTGGTGTTGGTCATGCGCAATCAGTCCCTGCAGATAAAGAAGGTTCAAGTGCGGAAAGCCCTTGCACACAAAGAAGGTTAATTCCATTATCCCCTTTGGCATTGATTTTCTAGTGGAGAAAAAAATCAATGATGAGATGCCTTGCTAGTTTATTACTGATTCATCCTTATTTCTAAACATATGTTTTAGATGGGTCAAAGAAAACTATACTTGCAGTATTACTTGGACTACTTCCATTATATATGGAGGAGAAGGTTAATTGCTGGTATTCTTGTGTGTCTGGCCATGTATCTGCATAGGATTAAATCAAGAAAAAGAAGAAGGGCCATAACTTATGCTCCCATGATAGATAGAGATGTTGATAGATTGGCACGTCTAAATCGTTTGTATCATGGTACTGAGGCCCATTGCATAAGTGAGTTGCGTATGAGGAAAGTTGTATTTCATAAACTCTGTCATGAACTTAGATCACGTGCCTTGCTAGAGGACACTTTTCATGTGTCAATAGAGGAACAAGTTGCCATGTTTATCCATTGTGTTGGGCACCATTGGTCAAACAGATCAATTGGTTTTGAGTTCATGAGGTCAAGTGAAACTGTTAGTAGGTATTTCCATCATGTTTTAGATGCCCTTTGTACCCTTGGTCGTGGCCTCATATGTATCAGATCTGTTGAGACACATTCAAAGATAACAAGTTCTCCGGGCAGATTTCACCCTTATTTTGAGGTACATCAAATTTGTTAATCAATAATTTAGAGTTTAGTTTAGGTGTCATATTAATCTTTTTTTGAAAAAAATATTTCCGTAGGGATGCATAGGAGCCTTCGATGGTACACATATACCAGCATGTGTACCTTTCCATATGCAAGATCGGTTTAGGGGTAGAAAATCATATACAAGCCAAAATGTGCTAGCAGCAGTTGATTTTGACCTAAGGTTCATATATGTTCTTGCCGAATGGGAGGGATCAGCCCATGATTCTTATGTGCTTCAAGATGCTCTATCACGTCCTAATGGGCTTAACATACCAACAGGTAGGAATACTCCATTGTCCTAATACCTCCAATCTAAAACTTCACCTATATACTTAACTAATTAATCTGGAAAAACCAATGATGTAGGCAAATATTTCCTAGCTGATGCTGGATATGCAGCAATGTAACAGAACCAACCAAATCATAAGAACGTAAGTACAAAAACAATCACCGAAGCGATCAAATTCCTGTACTTAAGCTCCCATAATCCCGGTAGTCCGGAAATCACGAAGGATTTCAACCAACTCTCGACATACAAACCAAGATCGTAATGATTCAACACAACACATCATTCGTTACAACATTTCACAAGTAGCATTCGGATTACATCCATCAGAGTTCAAATAAAATATTACAAACCAAGTTTGAGTGTGCGGAAGCAACATAGTTTAGTACACAACTTCATAGTTTCAAATACATTGCCGGATCGAGTCATGTCCCACAAAAGCATTATCGTATTTAGAACTAGTAGAGACCGCGCCTAACGGTCTAGTCTTCATCCCCAAAGAGGAGAAGGCGACTTGCAAAGAACCAAAGAAGAACCGGGTCATCTGCAATGGTGGAAGATAAACCCCGAATACGAGAAGGTACTCACTAGACTTATCCGACAAATCGAAATAAAAGACACCAAGGATCATGCAAGGCTTTTTCGTGTGGGCTAGCTTGACACAGCTTGCATAAAAGAGCTTATGATTATAATAACCAATTTAAACTTATTATCAAGCTTATCATTATTTACCCGTCCACTAGATTAGCACCTGTACTAGAGCACTCACTTATTAGTAGCAAACAATATTAACCATAGCAGGTATAATAAGGTCACATCATCATATCATCATTTCCGAACCATTAAGTATTAAGTGTATCTACATTGGAGATAAGCCCGTCAAGTTCTCACTAACCGGGAGAGACGACGATTCAATCGAATTACAACTCAAATTGAGGGGTATTCCTAACTCTCACCCCGGCATACTTTGCAAGGGTAGCCGTGGTCACCTTTGGAACATCTCAGAACCAAATTCATGGCGGGGTTCGATCGGCGCAAGACTCTCGTGGATTACCCTTCCGCCAGATTGATCGGGACTTTTAAATCACCCGCCTTGGGCTCACGCCTCGGCTCCCTTCCGAGGCGCACTTTATACTTATCGACTCCCGGCCGAGGTGAGCTACTCGGCTTCATGGTCGGGTCATCGGACACGACCAACTAAGAGAGAGGCATGCGTTCAACATGAACAGAAAGGCTCCAAGAATCAGTCCTTAAGCGACACGGAGTCACTACAAACCGGCAAGCCTCCGTCCGGTCTTCATTTCCAATTAAGACCGGTTTCTTTTCCACGATAGCAAATATAGCCAACCGTGCCACATGTATCTTCCTAT